TGTGTGTGTGTGTGTGTGTGTGTGTGTGTGTGTGTGTGTGTGTGTGCCGGGGGGAGGGTTGGGAGGACCTCCCCCACCACTCAATCAATCAATCAATCAATCATTCAATCAATCAATCTATGAATCAATCAATATATTTTTTTTTTTCTATTTTTTTTTTTTCCACACACCAAAAACGCCCCCCCCGAAAATTATTTTTTTAACTTTTTTTTTTCAAGGGGGTAGGGTCAGGGTTCTGGAACCCCGATCCGCATCCCCGACCTCCAACCCCCTCTCCCCTCGGCCTCTGTGGGCCGCGGCAGTCAGCAGTCGCCGCGGTCATGACCGCGGGCCCGGGGCCGCGACCGCAGTCCGCGGTCGTGCCCGCGGTGACCACGGTCGCAGGGGATTCATAGCCCGTCTCCCACCAGCTTGCTGCCCAGGAAAAATGTCGACTCTCAAGGTTGAGCGCTCGCGACACCTCACATTGAGAGGACTCTCAAGACAGAACTCACTTCCTCACGGTAAGAAGCAATGAAGAGGGTAGATAAGGAAGAGAGCAACGTACCTCATAATGTTGCCTCCAACCACAGATTTCTCACCGGCAACCTGATGTGCATTTATGATGACCGGTCTTTGCCTCGGCACAACCCACAGCAGAATCCAGTTCCACCTCGGCTTAAATGCCACATCAGCGAGCTCTCATCATCCAGCGTACACCCCTAATGTCACCACACAGCTTCCTGGCGCGCCCACACGACCCTGGGCCGCCTTACGTCCAACGCCCAAGCCTTATCACTGCCCCACACCTCATGCGAAGCACCGAACAGCTATTGCGAAAGACCAATGAAGCGCAGTTCGAACCAGCTCTGATACCAAATTGCAAGGAAAATGAGCAATATCGAGACGACAATAACCAGAAATTCAATACGCAATCACATTGAAGGCCAGATAGTATCACAGTGTCCAGAGAGCAGCATTGCACCAATATCACACCAATGAAGAATCGTAACACGGAAAACCTATGTCAATGAGAACTTGCTCTCGACACCACCAACATGAGTATCCAGGCCCTATCTCCCTACCTGGCGCTAAGTGCCCAACCTACTCCCTACACAGCTACTGTCTGCCTACTAATTGACAATGCAACTGTTGACGTCAGCAGCCTACGAAGTACTTGAAGATGTCGCCCATGCAGACCATCGCCAATACCAGGTATGTGCCCTCACATCATCATCATCATCATCATCCTTCTCTCTCTCTCCCTTGTCTCTCCCTCACGTCTTCCCCCTGTACATCCAAAGACCACCCCTGTGCCTCACTGTACAACCAAGCCCGCCAGCTATGGAGGCTGGGCTATGGCGCGACCCTCAGCAGCGCCCTCCTCCTTGCACGACCGCACGTGCTTGCACCTCGCCTCTCAGCGCTAGCAGCAGCCCACGAGCTTCAGCTCCAGCAGCCCTGCCGCCAGCATGCGAGTGCCCGAATGAGCTTCCAGCCAGCGAGCTCTTTCCTATATGGAAAGAGCCGGCCTGCCCTCGCAGCCTGGCTGGCCTGTGCCTGGGCCCAGAAGCTTCCGGTAGGCTCCAGGATGCTGCGCCTCTGCTGCAGCTACTGGGCCTCATTCGGTTGGGCCTTCCAACTGCCTGTGTATGAGGCTGCAATTCTCGCCCAGGGCCTGCATTTTTGGAAAAGTCTAGAAGGCCGTGGAAGGTCTCGCTGCTCGGCCTGTATCTCCTCCAACCAACTGGCACGACGAAACTGCCTGGACCCCAAATACGACATTGACAGCTTAGGGCCTCTCGTCATTTGTCAGGCCCGCCTTCACTTAGGGCGGGCCTGGCGGGCACATCTGTAGCAGGGGCCACTCAGGCCTTTCCAGGACCCAGATCCTCACAGTTGGCAAAACTGCATATTCACATATAATTTGACTGGGTAAGCTCACAATTTGACCATTCCGGTAGTTGTGTATAACTGCAATTTGGTGGTAACAACCTTAGCCCACCACAGTCCCAGGTATGGAAATACTACTTGAATTTGCACAGGCCATTTCCTGGGTATGTATTGAAGATTTGGAACTGGGGTTGGGTTTCTCTCTCTCTCTCATCTTTAAAAAAAAGGGTACAAAGATGCAATTTTCCCTTTTTAAGTTTTGGTCCCATTGCAGATGTCGGAGTGCACTCTGTTTGCTTTTTTGGAACAAGTAAGGACGCGGCAGGTTTTGAGTTTTGAGTTCGCAAATGCAAAACAAACACGCGCCCATGAAGAAAACGCCCATGGAGTTTGAAAATGCAATTCTGGTAGAAAAGGATTGGTTGGGCCTTTTTCTTGTTTTTCTTTCGCCATCTGACACCACGGCCGACCCCTGTAGTTATGAGTCTTATGACATCCGGCCAGACACCACGGCGGTGGTACTTCCATCGCATTTTCAAACTCGGCGGCTGCTTTCGTTGTTGCAGGTGCATGTTTTTTTTCGCACATTAGGAGCTCAAAAGTGACATAAACAAAGTTGTGCCCTTTTCTTTTCTTTTTTTTCCATTCCCAGGGTCACTGCCTCTGGCCCCATTTAATTTAGAAGTAGGGGAAACTGCGCAGGAGTCACAAAAACGAGTTATAATTGCAGTATGGGCCAAGATACAGTTTGCAATTGCAGTTAGGGCAATGTATACCACCCAGCTTTCTGGCCAGGTAGGGTGCCCGAAGTGCAATTGCAAACTGTATCTTGGCCCATAGTGCAATTATAACTCGTTTTTGTGACTCTACTGAAGTTACCGCTTAGAATTACTATACCTTGTTCATCTGATTGCATCTGGATTGGAACTTGGGCCCGCATTTCACCAGTTCATGGGTGTACCAACGAAGTTTTGCACGTTGGTGGGGTAGTAATTCACTCTGTTTTCGTTGAACCTGCAGTTCACACTACCTTCGTCCCCGAATACAAGGTATTGTCATTATAGCTGTATTTGGGGTGTCTTTCCGTCTAAATACAGCTATAATGACCGTCTGTAGTTTTCCAGGGAAGAAGGTAGCCTACTACTAAGTTGAAGCAGCTACCTTCCAAGGCTGGCAAGCCTACAACTGTGCCTTTTCAAAGTGCCGTCCCCCTTTCGCTACAGGCCCAGCAAAATGCTCTGAGACCTGCGGCATAATCAGGTAAGACCAGTACTCTGCTTCGCGTGAATTGGCAGTATGAGGGGCTAATACAAGCCTTGCTTTCACACCACTGCTGTGGTGCCAACCTACCCCGTGGGCCCGTGGGCTGGGGAGAGTTCCAGATTTGGTTGGTGTTCCCCTGTACTATACATAGAGCAGGGACTCCGAGAGGATGAGATAGATGAGGAAAATATATACAAAAGAAGACTACGACCAGAATATAGATTAGTTTTATTAAAAAAAAAAAAGTGATTGAGTACCGACACTTAGTCTAGTAGGACTTTCCCAAATGCATATGACCGCTTTTCCATCCTGGCCAAGATGATGCATCTAACCGGTATTACGTCCACAACGAAGTGGAAAAAGTCCTAGTGTAGTAGTGTGAGCATGCCCTTAATAGTTGTTTGGGGGAGTGTGAAGGCTGGTATCATGTAGGGGCTCGCGGCACCACTGACCAAATGTGCAAAATGAGAATGAATCTTCCGGACCGCTAAAACATGGATGCTCACCATAAATTTTGTCTCTGGTTGCATTTGGTGAGTGGTGCAGCCACTGCAGCGAATGGCCTATGGTTGCCTGTTATTCTCTTCAATTGCTCGGGCCCAAGCTGACAGATTCTGGGTTGCTTTCACTCTTATGTGGTTTCTTTGTGATGACTCTGCATTGGACACTGGACAGGGACATGTGCAGGGCCACCAAAGCATACCCACCTTAAGTTAAGCTTCTCTTCGCCTAGAGGTACGCACAGTACTGCCAAGATAGGCTGGACTTCATATTGGTCATTCTCAACATGGCTTTGTTGCCATTGTTGCTTCTTCTCGTCCTGTTTTACCACCGGCACTCGTTCCCCCCACCACAAAGTCGCAGCTGCGGATCTCTTGTCATGTTGATGCTGCTCTCCATATCTGACCTGCTTGTTCTCCACTCCCCAATTCTCCTCTTTCTCCCAACTGACATGTCTGCAGTATCTGCAGACACAGTGCTTCAACCTCACCAACCTCTTCATCCAAGTGAAGTTAGTAAATCCTCCAGCCACCGTGACTCTAACCTGCCTCGATCGTCTCAGCCGTTTGACACCGCTAATTTACGTCCCTCCCGATTCGTATCTTCTTCCCTTTCTCGAGTTGACCTTACGAGTCATCATGATGGTTGTGAGAGCATTGCTGATGCCACAAGGCCCACGAGTAACAATGTTGGAAGCATCGCAAACTCTGATCAGTCCTTCGATCGCTATTTTCGCAATCGCTGTCGCAAGAGCATCAAGAGTGGAGCTGCTAGCAACGCTACGGGCAGTGCAGCGGCTGCAGCAATGAGCACTGGTGGAGGACAGACTGAACGTGGAGGCATCAGAACCATAACTGCTAGTATGCGTTCAAGTTCTGGAAGCGGCAGTAGTAGGGATAGTGAAAGGGCCAAGAGCCTGAGGGGGAGAAACGGACGGCAAGGAGGAGAGGAGAGTGACAATGACATAAACCTGCAAGGCTTGCACGTACCTGCACCGGCTCAGACATTCGAGAAAACACCCATCATGATGAGAGAAGTTGGCCGGGGCACGAACGAGCCGAAGGAGGATTCCTTAATACAGCTTTTGCACCATGATCGTCGTTCAGGGAGAAAACTCCAGGAACGGAGTAGTTACATGCTGAGCTATAACGTAATATCAAACTTGAACGTGGTCGCCAAATCCGCCCAAGTACTGAATTTCACTCATAGAACAGACCATGGGGATCCTACTGACAGGAAGGCCTATGCCATGGTGACAAGTGGACGTGGTTCAAGTCCTATTGTCTACTTCTTAGAGAAAAATTACGACCCGATTAAGGCCGGCACATACAAGGTAGTGAAGGCTACTCAGAAGGGCAAAAGTGGGCAATTTGATTTCGAGGAGCTGCCAGGATCTTGGATCGGCTTGGCTGGCCTGTTGTTGCTGGACTCAAGCTACTTGCTCCTCGCTGACTACAGCAACAATTCAGTACGGAAGGTGGGATTACAGTCATACTATGATGAACCAGAATTCAGTAATCTGTATGGCCCTCTTGGGCTGGCAAGGCATCCAATGGAGGGAACTCTGTACGTCTCCGGAGAAGGTAGAATCTATGCCATCCCTCTGGACTCCACATCCTCCCTTACCTCCAAAAAAGTACTTGCAGGACCTGCAGGTTACTCAGCACTTGATTACAGCTATGACTCGGAGGGTATTGTAGATAGTTGGGATCCGTCAGTAGTTCGATTTGACACCCCATTGATCAACCCTCGGTCAGTCTCTGCAGATGGCAGCGTGCTATACTTGAAAGATGTAGATTGTATTCGGCGGGTGAAGACTGCAACGGGGGCCACAGACACAGTGCTCAAAGAGAGCAAAAACTCAAGCTGGGGTCCGTTGGATGGTGATCCTATCTCTGAGCGGGCAGCAATTTATGATCTTGTCGACCCTGTCGTCACGTCCAATGGCTGCAATATGTTTGTCGGGGACGACAGCAACAGTCCCCGGATCCGGTGGATAATGCTCTCAGCCCCAGGTGGTAATGTCATCCAGGTCAGGACAATCGTGCAGTTCTCCAACCACACTGGAGTTCTCAGCCTTACTCTTTCCGATCATGACAGCTTTCTGTTTGTTGGATTTTATTACGCTGTCATACTGAAGTTCGATGTGGACATCTTCACTCTTCATCAGTGTGGAACAGTATATCGACCTTATGATCGCAAGGTGTCCCGTAGAGTGATCCTGGCGAGCTGTATGAGCATAGCAGTCTGGGTTGTTCTTGTTCTCGCAGCAATCGGTTTGTTTGTGGTCGTCAGGAAGCATTCCGGGGAGACTTCTGCCCCACTTGCACCACCACTGCGGCCGTCGAAGACCAACCCTTCCCAGGAGCAACCTGCACACCGCACTCTCCCGCTTGGTGCAATTCCGGAGAGGGCATCATTTGCACCACCATCGTCTTCAATGCCAATGGAGAGTGGAATGTCGATACGAGATGCGACAACCACACAGCTTGGAATGTGGAGTTCATCAATGGCAGCGAGTGGCTTTACTCCCGGAAGTGGAACCGATGATCGTCATGATGATGGCTCTAATATCCTGGAATCTCTGCCGGGGTTAACAAGATTCGCTCTATCAGAGCTGTTAGCTGCGACGGCCAACTTCGGACCCAATCACCTGCTCGCTGGTAAGGGCGGGGGATTTGGTGATGTATACAGGGGTACTGTCATGGTTGGACAAACACCAACCGACGTGGCAATCAAGGTCATGAAGGAGGGCCTTGATAAGGCGAACACTCTCAGGCGCAGGCAGTTCGCTGCAGAGTTGCAAACGCTGGGCCAGCTGCGGCATATGCATCTTTGCAAGCTCGAAGGCTTCTGTCTCGAGAACAACATGTGCATACTGGTGTACCCGTTCATCTCAGGTGGTAGTCTGTACGATCGATTGCACGGAGATGCTGCCTATTCGGCCGCAGGGGGAGGTGTGCAGGCACCGGCAGCCACTCCAGGTCACGCTACCATACCAAGCTTGGATCTTGCTGAGAGATTGTCCATCGCCAAGCAGATGGCCACCGTTTTGCGGTACATGCACCACGAAGTGGACCCCCCCGTTCTTCACCGCGATATCAAGAGCCGGAACGTAATGGTCCAGGGAAGCGGAAACACCCTTCGTGTTATTTTGATCGACTTTGGTCTTGCCAAACTGGGCAATGCTCAGCAAGACCAGCAGCAAGAGGGGGTTCAAGCTGCTCAGGTGGCTCCTGGCAGGTGGCGTCATGGGCAACAAACCGTGGTGTCCGTCGCAGCCTCAGGCACTCCCGGATATATTGCGCCGGAATACCTCGCTAAGATGAAGCTGACGACGAAGAATGACGTATACGCATTTGGTGTTGTGTTGCTGGAACTTCTCACAGGAAGGAAGGCCGTCTGGATGCCACCACATTCAGTGACACCAGGTGTGCCCGAGTTCCTCGTGATATGGTCCAGAAAATTCCCATTTCATGGTGGCTCATCGGTCACATACAGCCAACTGGAACCGTTCTTCGACGCCAGGTTGAAGTCAACGTTCAAAACAACGGAGGAATGGAATGTTGCTTATTACCTCTCACTGCTGGCCATTCGGTGCACAAATGATTGTGCTGACGACCGGCCTACCATGGCAGAGGCTTTGGCATACATAGATCAACACTGCAAGGGAGTACAATCATTTGTGTTTTTAAGCTCTCAGACTGGCTGATGTCTTTACAGGCAGACGTGGGAACAGCCCGAACAGGGTAATCACGACTACCAGCATCCAGGCCCTTCACAGAACAGACAGCAGTGCGATGAATCTCTAACCCTCTCTCTCCCGGAAAGTACACACCTGAGGACTGGTTATGCATAGGCCGG